AACAACACAGACTGAACCGGTTGTTGGTCAAGCCATTGCAAGCAGGAGTTTAACTTAGCCAGGCCCTTTTCTGACCCGCCAACACAAGTAAGCGGCCCAATTGGCAGGATAGGAGACTTTCCATTTCTCCTTTCTTTAAGAAATCTGACGACACCCCCTTCCATGGCTTCAAAACTATTGACCATTATTCCATCCACTTTATCATGATGCTTTGAGTGATGAATCATCCAAGCAAAGACATCACTTTTTTTATCAATGGCTGATTGAGGAAAATCATTGTGGTAAAGCGGCGTGCAACCAGGCAGAGCAAGCAACGAGTCAGGGTTGTTGTCATGTTGCTCATGGCAAAGAGTGGGAAGGTTAAGCAAAAAGGACAGATAGAAGAAGTTGGTTGTGAAGAAAATGTAACTAGGAGCGCCGAGCTCACGTGCCAAGCAAATAGTGTCCCCACCGAAGAGGTCTATGATGTAAGCGGCAATGCGTTTGTTCTTAATTTGGAGGTCGAGCAAAATTTGTCGCAGGAAGGGGATTGAACGAGAAATCATAATTGAGAGGCGTGAAATGATGTGGGTGTTGGTGGGGAGGTCGTCGAGAGAAATAGGCGGAAGGCAAACAGTAGATACTCCTATAGGAAGGGAGGAGAACATAGATTGTTGGATATCTGAAGAGCGATCAAAGAAGGTGATGATGGTGGCAGTTAGGTTGTGATCTAGAGCAAGACGCTTGGCAAGTTCAACAATCGGAGAGAGGTGACCTATCCCTGGGCTTGAGAGAAGGACGACGTGGGCCTTCGAGCATGTTACAGACATTGTAGCTTCTTTTTTCACTACGAAACTAATTCTAGGATTTATGTTCTCTCGGAGAGCTGAGGAGTTGTGAGAAGCTTATGTGGTATATATAGGCATTCAAGAAATCTATTTATTGGCTAACAAAACACGGGAAAATCCAGAGTCAGCTTTGAACTTGTTGCCGTATGACTGCATATGATTATATTGGATCCAATTGTTATCCAGTATGTTTATTTTAATCGCGCTTGATCCGAGTTGAAAGCTAAGCGAGATTTGGAAACAGTTCCTATTTCTTATTTTTTTTATGTTATGTTATTGTATTTATACTTTGATATGAAGCAAAATTAGGTTTTGTAAGCTAGTCTATTTTTCATCACTAATACCGCACAAAAAAAAAAATATTAAATATCCTTATTGGCAGTTAGAAGTCGTGGCATTATTGGCAGCTAGAAGTCGTGTCAGTATTGGTGGCAAAAGGTTTAACATGGATGGGAACTGGTAGAACCGTTGGCTAGCCGGTTTTGATGATCAGTTCGGGGTCGATCCCAACGAGAATGATTATTTCTCAAAATTACTAACACCTGAAAAGAATCTAAGGTTTTAATTCTTTCATTTTTTTAAAATGGGAAATTTACATATTTACCGCAAAATTCTTATGTATTGACATATTTAACCCCAAAATTTTCATATCGAGGCAAATAAAACTTAAATCATTAATATCATATCAAAGCATTTAAAATCGTAATAATGGTGTGATCTGCTTGTATAATTTCCTTTTAAAAATGAATTGTTTATAAAGATAAGAAACAAAATTTATCGAGGATATAAATCAAACATTTTTTTGAAGAGCAGACGATAAAAAAATTGATCGCAAATGTTGGTGGCTATTTGTTTTAACATTTCCTTCCAACTTGGTTCGAGCATCGCTAAATGCTGACCAAAGTTAAATCAAACATTTTTTTGAAGAGCAGACGATAAAACAATTGATCGCAAATGTTGGTGAGCATCGCTAAATGCTGACCAAAGATTTTTTATTAATCGTATGTGATTGCATTATCTTTCTATTAAAAGCAGATTGGTACAAAAACAGTTTCAAACTTATCGATTAATTTTATTTTATTTTTTTGCCGTCTCCATTTAGTGGGACAATGATTTGTTGTTGTTTACGAAATTATCATTTTAATATATGTGATGAAAATGAATGAATGCTTTAAAAAAACTTGAACAATTAAATTTAGAAAAAAATTAATGGTGAATATAAAATTTGTGATGCAAGTAAATGAATACTTCAAAGAATATTTAAATAATTAAAATTAGAAAATATGGAATGGTGAATAAAAATTTAAACTATTAATTATTTGACATGTTTCAGATTTTTAACTAATTAAGTACCCTTTGGACTATTTTAATTTCAATTGAGTAAATATTAATCACTATGGCTTGAAACTTTGTGAGTTGATTCCTCATGAAAGTGAGGATGTCTCATTATTTTTCTAAAGTCAGAGAACACCTCTAGCCCTGAAACCCAAATTCTCAAGTCTATTGCCCCATTTTTTATTAAATTAATTATATAAATTAAAATTTTTTATCAGAAAAATATGAGAATTATTTTGGTAGGTTCCTTATAGTCAGAGGACTTTAGAAAAAATTATATAAAGTATTTAAATGATTGTGCATAATTTTCTAGCTAATTAAGTGTTAAAATTTATAAAAATTAAAATAAATATAATATTTTTCAAAAGTTAACAAAAATAATTCCACACTGTAAATAATGACCACTTTGATTACTGTAAAAATTTGAAACCTATTTGAGTTGATTTGATCACTAAAGTTTATTTTTCAAATGAATCGGTATTTTTTGCATTAAAATAATTATAATGATTAAAATATAATTAGGAAAATTATGAAATGTGTTTTTCTAAGTTCCTTGTGATCAGGGGAGCACATATGAAAAATAATTTTTTTTTAAAAATAAATAGTTCATTTTTAACTAGTTTTTAAATTAAAATTAATTAAAAAAAATTAAAAATTATAAAAATATGAAAATGTTCGGACTCTTTAAAATATCTTTCCTATTTTTCGTAATTTAATTATATATTTTTAAATGCTAAAAATGTGTTTTTCTTAATTTTTCATTAAGATAATTTAAATAAATAAAATAAATCCAGGTGCTAACGAGTTTAACTACATCTTAGTTTTATCCCTTAATGAAAAAGAAAAAAAGTCTAAGTCTATTGGCATCGTTCGACACTCCATGTTGACTTCACTTTTGGTTGAGGTTTAGTTTTT